CGTGTTTTTACTACACCTTTCTCGTATTACAAGGGCCCTTGAGTTGGCTTAAATTAAAAAGCGTCTATCAACAGTTTTTCCCCTGGAAAATGCAAGCCGGACTGCTGCGTTGGATTGCCAACGGCAACAGTGGTGTTTTTTTTATGGAATTCTTTTTCATTTTGCAGTCAGGTGCCTGAATTCTCAGGCTCTGTCTGCCTCACTGAAGGAGAAGCTTTAAAATTTGCCCGCATTGAAGAACAAATAAAGCGGAAACATAAAAATTACGTCTCTCGACAGTTTTTTACATTCACGGCGGGCTTTACAATTTTAATACCTCATCTTAAAAACTCCAGAGATGTCTTAAGGATGTAAAGGTAACTTGAGTATCTATTTCATATTCTTTATGCTTTTTTTATATATACGCTCCTTTTCTCTTTAAAACTTTAATTGGGTACCAAGTATATCGAGAAAGAAACTACTCTTTATCAGTACAACAACATGTGCTTTCAATAGTTATACTGTATCCATTTATGATTTTTCCTGATATGAATACACATCTTTTAATAGAGGTTTCTTTTCATCCATATATTGGGGATGTCGGTTTGGCCCCACCTTCCTCCTACAAAACCTCTGAGGCTCGAAATGCCGAAATTTACCTTTTTAGAAACATAATTTTCCCAATTACCGTATTAATTTCGCCAAATACTCGAAATGGGAGTTAATTTTCGTTGATTTGCGGCCATTTTAATGACAGATTGAGTGTCGAGTGTACGACGAGCGCCCATCGATGCTTTCGGCGGGGATTTGTCCATAAATAATTCATCGAAACATGTAACAAAAGTGCGTCAAGTGGTCGCACCCACACCAGTGCCCGAATATTGGATTACATGAGGGGATGCGGACGCGTCTGTCGCTTTTTTTTTGCCGCACCAAAGTGGATGTCTATTTTTTATGGCACCCCGGGGAAATGACGTACTATGAATGCCGGTTTAATACACAAAACTTTGACAATATTGTCGCACAGTTAGCACGGATACACATACCATCCATAACAGCAGGGACAATAGACTTGTAGCCAGACAAATGTGCGAATAAAATTGCTATTTTTGTACCGCTTGCGTCTATTGTTAGCCAAGTTATTCAATCTCTTCACACCCCCCCACACACACACACACAGATGCACGGGAACGAATGGCAAATAAATGGTTGGTATATCAACAAATCGATCATTTTTCCGCAGTTAGGCCGAAATCATTGAGTGGCTGGAAGTTCGGCCATTAAGATTTAAAGCAAACAAATGCGGTGTGTATCTGCTTTCTGCTGTGGCCTGCGTCACTCCGAAAATGGCACACGCAAATAAAGTTAAGGGGCGGAAAACGGAAATCGGAAAACGGTAGGCGGGCTGAGGACCAGAACTGATTTATCAAGTGGCCACCCATTCCGGCTCATAAGCCATTCATTTAAGGGGCTTAGTTGCTGGCGGGCCCCATTGATTTCGGCCATCTTTCTCGGCTCGCAAAAGTAGGCAACAGTTGAGAAACAAGCCGCTCGCCCATTGATTAATTGCCGAACTTTCCTCAGACATTCGCATTTGCATTAGCAGCTCTTAAATTGAAATCAAAACAATCGTCTAGTTGCACAGGGAAAAAATATAAATAATAATTTATTATTGGCTATTAGTTATAGTAAATAATTTTAATGTACTGTTTTAAATATCCTTATTCTTTTCATAAATGTATGGAAAATTCATAAATATTAAATTTATTACTGACAATTATTCAGGTTAGTTTTATATGTCTAATATTATTCCAAAATAAACCTTTACTCCCTAACTTTTTCCCAGTGTCTGGGAGATAAATCTAAGACCTTCTTTTATGACCTCACTTTCGCCCCTTTGTGTTTCAACCGAATAAAAGCAGAGTACACAAATAAAATCCTTCGCTTTACTCTCCTCGTTTGGTTTTATTTAAGTTTCGCGCTCATTGTTTTTATTTGCTTTTAATAGGCGGACGATGAGGAGGAGTTGTGGCTTCTTGGTTGGGTCTGAATGCGGATTCAGTTGCCTTCCTTCGGTGGCAACTTTAGTGGCTGCCTGTGTTTGCTTTAACATTGAGAAACTTTTTTCCGCCGCTTTCTTCGCAGGCAGCGGCTCATAAAGCAAACTGGATACCCACTCTTACTTTTTACCTCACCTGGGGTTTTCCATTTCCTAGGTGCCAATGCGAGAGGCGGGGAGGAAAGAGTCCGGAAAAGTTTGCCCAACAACAAAAGGTCACTGAACAATTGACAAAGTCGTCGTGCTGTTGTCTCGGGGTTTGCCAAGCGCCATTTAAAAAGTTTTACATAATAGTTGGCCCAGGATCTTGGCAAGTACCCTTAAAGGTAGAGATTTCACAAATGCTGAAAAACAAAAACCAAGAAAAAAAATTAGGTGCACTTTCCACCTTTTAAATACCCTTTAGCCATTGCCCTCTTAAAAAATATTTTAACTTAAAATGGCTTGAAGGAATATTAGCAAACACGTTAACTCCATTACAAATTAATAAATAGCTTTGAACATATATATAGGTAAATATTTTAAGTACCCATAAACTAATTAGGTGGTTCAAAAATATACTTACTTGCTCTCTTTTCCTTCATACATATACTTTTTCTTGCTACAAATCTGAAAAAAGGGTATTTTTTGTACGAATAAGATGCAAAACATCAACTCAACGGCTTCTTTTGATGTTAAAATCCAATGAATACATACGTTCAATTAAAAGTTTTTGCTGTAAAGAACAGTTTATTGATCAACCCTAGTACTCTCACAAATAAATATAAAAATTCAATTAGTTTACGTTTTATATTTTCAAAAAGGGTTTCTTCTGAGCTGCAGTTAAAGGATAGCAAGAATGGCTTCGTAAATTAATTAAGTACAGCAGTCCGTCCACTTCACTTTTAAATGGGTAAAGTTTTTTTCAGAGTTTCAATCGGAATTTAAGGCTTTGTTCCGCATGAGTGCCGTCCACTTATTTTACCTCGTAGACAGTTAAAATATTTTTTTAACATTTCGACTACAGGTATAAAGTGAGATGTAGAACTTTTAAATTTAACTTAAGCATATTGCTTAATATATTGCTCATAGCATAAAATCGTATGAAGTGTAATCTACAACTTTTAAATTTAAATAATTGTTTAAGCAATAGAACCTCACAAAAACCGTAAGTTTCATCTATCAACATAAAAAAAAATTGTATAAAGCATTATTTGACGAGGAAGTAATAAATTTGGTTGTTAACTATTAAACAAAAAAAAACTTTAAAAATCTTTTCAAATAAGTATTATAACGACATTTATAAAGGTGTCCAAATAGGTAAATAGAATTATTGGTAGAATATAGTAACCCACTTTCAAATTCAAAAATAATAATCCGTTACGGCCAGTGTGGCCAGAGCCGCCATCTTTCCTGGTATACTTTAGTGCGTTTCCTCGGGGTCTTGCTCCGACGACGGTCACACTTTTTAGTTCGTGCAACTTTTGTACGCCAACAAGAAAACACTTATTTTGCTTCCAAGCAAATCGATAATTGCAAACGCAGTGCCGTTTCAATTGCAGCAGAAACCGCGACCAAAATGTTGGCAACCGAGGCGAGACAAATGCTGAGCCGCGTGGGAACCCTGGTGGCCAGGAACCAGGTGAGCGGAGGACGGGAAATCATCGCTCTTTTGGCCAGAATCCCGTGGGCGTGGGCGTGGGGGGTGCAGGCGGCTTTTGGGCCCGTGCAGTTATATAAGGCGGAAATCGGGGGTCCGGGAGATATAGACAAACGGCCAGACATGCAATCCCAAGCGTCGTAATTGGGGGAATTGCCAACGGCCATTGGCTGTTATGTAAACGTTTTTTCACTGGGCGGTTGACGGAAAATGGCTAAAACGTTATTAACTGATACCCTTTTTATTTCCCACACCAGCTGCGAACCATCAGCAATGGCACCGCCCAGCTGGAGCAGCAGGCGCAGCCCAAGGAGGCCCAGGAGCCGCAGATCAAGAAGTTCGAGATCTACCGCTGGAATCCGGACAACGCCGGCGAGAAGCCCTACATGCAGACCTACGAGGTGGACCTGCGCGAATGCGGGCCCATGGTGCTGGACGCATTGATCAAGATCAAGAACGAGGTGGACCCCACACTGACCTTCCGGCGCTCCTGCCGCGAGGGCATCTGCGGCTCCTGCGCCATGAACATCGGCGGCACCAACACGCTGGCCTGCATCAGCAAGATAGACATTAACACCTCCAAGTCGCTGAAGGTGTATCCGCTGCCCCACATGTATGTGGTGCGCGATTTGGTGCCGGACATGAACAACTTCTACGAGCAGTACCGCAACATCCAGCCCTGGCTGCAGCGCAAGTGAGTCGGATATCTTTATAGACTGGATAGCAATAACTAATCCCCCCTAATCCCCTGCAGGAACGAGGCCAGCGAGCAGAAGGGCAAGGCCCAGTATCTGCAGTCCGTCGAGGACCGCTCCAAGCTGGACGGCCTGTACGAGTGCATCCTGTGCGCCTGCTGCTCCACCTCGTGCCCCTCGTACTGGTGGAACGCCGAGAAGTACCTGGGCCCCGCCGTGCTGATGCAGGCCTATCGCTGGATCATCGACTCGCGCGACGAGAACTCCGCCGAGCGGCTGAGCAAGCTGAAGGACCCCTTCAGCGTCTACCGGTGCCACACGATCATGAACTGCACGCGCACCTGCCCCAAGGGCCTCAATCCCGGCCGGGCCATCGCCGAGATCAAGAAGCTGCTTTCGGGCCTGGCCTCCAAGCCGGCTCCCAAGCTGGAGACGGCGGCGCTGCACAAGTAGAGTGCCCGGTTTGTCCCCCGATGTCCTTAACCAGTGAGCCAGGCCTACGGAAACCAGCCAACTTGCTTACTATGTTTTTAATTTATTTAAGCCTAAAGTATCCGACACTTGTTATTACGGTTTGTAAAGGGAACAAGACGCGAAAATAAATAATTGTGTAACCACCAGCTTGAAAGCTCCGTAGATTACCGGCTACATTTAAGACCCAAATTCAGGGCGCTGTGGGCGAGGTCTCGTCGTTCATCTGGATGTCGTCGGCGGAGTAAAAGTCCTGGGTGACCGGGATGACGCGATCGTTGGTCTCGTCGTCCTCCTCGTCGTGACTGTCCGTATCCTCGCTGTCATCGTTGGCTAAAGGATAGGGATTAGTGGGTTAAGAGTGCTGTGGATGCAGTGCTCCCTCAAAACTCACCATCTTCGTCATCGGTTTCTATGCCGGGAATGGTGAGCATCTTGCCCAGCGGCTGGAGATCTGTTCCGGCTGTCTTGAGCGATTCCCGCTTCAGGGAAAATGAAAATATAGCAAGTAATACGGAAATCGGGGTCCTGAAAATGCTCACCCAGTTGCTGCGTTCGTCCTCGTAGCGCCGCGTCTGCGATTCCTCGTTGACGGAGGCAGGAGCCATGTCCAACCAGTAGCGATTCGCCACGGACACCTTGAGGGTGGGAAAGAACGGAATCATGGACATTTCGCGGAAAATTAAATCTGCAGTTTCCGATTTTTTGTTATTATTTCCCTGGACGCGTCTTCGGCGATCTGGCAACGCTGCAACAGAATGCGAAAAAAATACCGAATACAGGGACGTCGTCAGGGGGATTTTTGAAACAAAAAATTATATATTTTATTACAAAATAGTTTAGATAATAAAGAAAAACCAAGAAGTACAGTATTTATTCAAATGTTTATTTATCAAAGAAGCTATAAAAATCGGACAACCACGATACAGGACCCATCGCCTCGCAGTTTTATTGGTAGTAAAGTTCCAGATTCATGCCATCGTGGATTTCATCTGAAAAGATGGGAATATATGTATATTAGTTTATAGCTGTGCACTGATTGCCGAAGGGCTTACAGTCGGATAGGCGGATGGGGTCCTTGTAGATGGTATACCACTTCTTCAGGACAATCTTCTCGTGCTTGGTGCCCGTTTGTGCCGCAATGAGTTTCTTGAGGTCCCCGATTGTGTCGTCGGGATTGCACTTGACGCGCACCTGCAAATGGAACGCTGTGTGAAGCAGATCAACTATTGCATTGGGCTCTGAACTCACCTTCTTGCCGAGACGATCGTTACACGTTATTTCTATCATATTTTATGTGTTTGCAACTAAAATCACAAGCAACCTTTTGGTTTGTTGTGGTACTTTGGCCTAGAGTTGCCAGCTGTTTCGAACAAAATAATTGCCGGTTCGGGTCCCGGCTAAGTTTCCGTGTTGTCTTATCGATAACTCTTCCGTTTATTTACTAAGGGTATTCCCAAAAACGTTAGCACCTTCAAACTTTAATAGAATACTTCACAGTTAAGTGTTCAATCAAATGTTTTCTTCGTTTATTTTGCTCCTGTTTTTATCCTTAGTTACACAGGTTATTTTAAATCTGTAGGCTTCGGCATATATTGTAGAACTTGTCCTCTCCGCGAGATCCCAATTCGCACAGGTGCACTTCCTGGCATATTGCTGTACCAAAGTCGAAGTTCCCAAAGCGTTCTACGATCTCGCTGGCGTCAAAGGTATCCTTGTTTGTTGCCTCCTCCCGAAATCGGATGTTCATTATCTTCATGCGCATATTGCATGTTCCCAAGAGTGATAATCCAGCGTTCTCGTAGAGAGCATTACATCGATCAGCAAACTTCTTCAGGTCCGGAGACTCGATGCAGCCGTGCAAAACACGAGTTAAGCTGGGATTGTCGTTTGTAACCAGGCCTTTGACTTTCATTTCGAAAGGAGTTTTTAGGTCAGCTAACTGGGAACGACAGGAATCCAGCACTTTTAGAGCCTTTTGGCGTTCTTTCTCATCCAAGAGCACAAAAACCCCTATAGTATAGTGTAGGCAATATTTCGATATGAACAGCCCCTCATGGATTCCTGGCAACTGGGCCTCTAAAATACATTTCTGAAAGAAGACTTTATATCAGATTTTCTTTGGTCCGCTTTCACCTCATGATCTCTACCTTAAGTTCCACATATCGCTCCTGGACTTCTCCAAAGTTTAGGGCCACGGCCAAAATATGTGTGCGGCTCATCTTTCTTCGCATGGATATCATTCGAAACCGAATGCATCCCAGGGCATCACACACCTGATTGCGATGCTTGGCCCTGATAATCACTTCGTTGGGTTCCTCGTTTGAACGCGGAAAATAGATTTGTGTTTTGGTATTTTCCTGGATGGAGTGTTTAGTGGAACCCTTGGAGCCAATTAACCCACCGTAAAACGATCTGCAATGGTTTGTTTTATAGAAATAGACAGCCATTCTGTACAACTTTACCTACTCGTGCACATAAAAAGCAAGCTTAAATTCTCCATTAGGGGTCTGCTCAATGCTGCTTGCAAGGGGATCATTCACGGCCACTTCCTTACAGTAAAGTTCTGGTGAAAAGGAGATGTATTCAGATATCTAAAGCCCTAAAAAGGCACTCACCCATTGCCTGGTAGGCCTTTTTATGTCCTTCAAAACTCATTTTGATCGGATTAAAGATCGTGAGATCACTGCACTTACTCACTGGGTTTTACAAAGATTGTGGATAGATAGGAAGACTGCTGGAAGGCTGATAGGAAGTCAGCGATAAGCTTGTATTCCCCGCTATAGTGATGTGATATCGTAATAGACTATTACGATAGTATTTTCTTATGCCCAGTTTAGACAACAGCGACCAAAATATTTTCGGGAGGACTGTGCTCTAAATAAATTTAAAAATTTAAATCAACATTTATTTTATTCGTTATTACCTCATAAAATTGCAACAGCGTTTCCGCAATTAAAAGAAATACCCTAATCGGAGTCAATAATCGAGAGTGAATATCGATAGAGCTCATGTTGAAGCCGATATTTTCAGAGGGACCGTTTGGAATACTATTTGGAATACTTGAAAATGTAAAAGTGGCATTATTCCGCAGTCACACTCCTCCCTCCACAGTTTTCATCTGGCAACACTGATTATTCCAATTTTTTTCGCCGCTCGGGAAAGACGTGATTTGTTGTCGCGCCAGTGGAGGCTATTTATAAAACCGTTGCGGCGCTTGCAAACAAACCGAATATTTAGCAAATTAAATCGGAGTGGAATTCATTAAGTGCGGTAGAAGCAGAAATATTATTGAGTATGTGCCATATTTACGGGCGAAATGCCCGAAACACTTTGCTTTGCCAGTTTAGATTGTGTGTGTGTGTGTGTGTGCGTGCTTCATTTTCACAGCTACATCTTACAAACGTTATGACGCAGCTGCGGAAAACTTGTTTGGGTTTCCATTTCACCGAAATACCAAATGTTTGCGCCTGTGCTGCGAACCCATTTTGGGCAATTCATCGTATTGATTATCGCGCGTTGTTTGTTGTTTGTGAATGGCGTGGCCCGCCGCCGCAGCACCCTGTTCCGCCACCCCGCCCCCTGGAATTGGAATCTATGCTCCCCCAAAGAATCGAATCGTTTCCACGAGTCCATCAACAGTTCCACGGTCACTGGCAAGCAATTCGCGATCCGAAAATGCTCCCTCCTATTTTTAGAAGCCATCTTTGCGGCCTGCCCATGCCCACTTACCTCCCCATTGCATTCTAATTAAAAACCGGGCATTGCGCTCATTTCATTTCGCTTCCACACGCATCGCATTGCATAATGCGGCATTAATGTTGCGCGGAAAGCTCGATCGGAAAAGCACTCGAGCATTAAAGTAGAAGAGAGTACGGTGCCCAAAAGTAAAGTATAGTTTTCCAGCTGCCCAATTGTAAACAACCCACGCCTAGCACACGCACACACTCTCATGAGAGCAGACGGGTTTTAATGTTTACTCCAAATACATAAATCGCTGGCCATGTTAATTATTTTCGTTTTTTCCCTCCCCCAGGGCCCCGCCGAGCACTTGGAAGAGAGCCCAATCATGAGCGATGATACGTACCAGATAGAAACGCGTCGGCGGTCGCGTTCCAAGACACCCTTCTTGAGATCGAACGATCAGGGCGGAGAGGAGGGACATGTGCAGCATCCCAAGAAGAAGTCGGCGGTCCCCAATGTGCAGTAAGTGTCTGGGATGCTCCCGAAATAGGACTAGAAATGGTCCTATTAATTTGTATTTCTACCACTTTCGGGGAGGAAGTTAGTGTTAAGTAAGTTTCACGGTAATTACAAACCATTTGGAAATCCAATTTTACTCCATGTAAGACCAGAAATGTTAACTAAACCATCACGTCACTATTACAGTCGAACTTCTGTAATACTAACCACAATCTGTTATACAATTTGGACTAAAAAAAATAAAAATCTCGGGTCTTCAAATTAGAGTAAATATTTTAAAAGGCAACTTTAAAATAATGGTTTTTACAAACCAAACATTGTAAAAAATTTCTTAAATAACACTGCATATTTCTATAGAGACCATGAGTTACACTTAGGCACGTTTCACTGTATAGCAACGCATATTTATAGTGACTGTATGCCGTGTGCTTGCCGCCATGACGTCACCTCCTTGTTATTCACGCTCGGCGCGAATTTCAATTTCGAAACGGGCAGAAAACGAAGGCAAAGCCACATACAGGGTGCGGCAGCTCGTCGAGCTTCGTTAGCTTTTGGCGCCCAATTCAAGAGAGCGTCTATCCGTCCGATCGGTCTTTCAAACTCGATGACGACATTCGGAGTCCCACGTTGGCCATCACAGATTCGTTTTCACGTTTCAGCCACAAAAACAAGCGGTTTGGGGTGGGCTAATAGCCAGCAGCGTTGAAGGTCAGCGGCGTTTAAAAGCATATTTTTGTATTTTTGTTTTGATACGTTGTACTCGCTGTTGGAAAAGATTCCGCGAGCACGTTATCGGGGACTTATTCACTGAAAATATTTCCCCAAATCTTCACCAACTACTATCTACATCCCTTTTTTTGCAGAACGATAGTGGAGGAGCATATAGTGGAGTCGAGCAGCAGCAGCACCAGCAAGAAAACCCGCAGCAAGGCCTTTGCCCAGCTGACCTCGGACTACTCCAGCGACGACATGACCCCGGAGGCCAAACGCAAACAGACCTCGACCAAGACCACAGTCACGTCGATCTTCACCAAGCTATCCGGAGCGGCCACATCGACGCCGCGCAACCGAAGCCAGCTGGAGACCACACAGAACACGCTGAACTCCGCCCAGGAGAAGCTGAACCACTCGAACGGCAACCTCAGCTCGGGAAATGTCAGCGACTACCTGGCCTACATTGAGTACCGCGATGCTGGCGAGTACTGGAAGTGAGTAAACCGAGTCTGCACCCTTATAGCAGTATAATAATAAAGTTATCTTGCAGCAAAACACCTAAAACGGACTACACCTACTCGGAACTGTCCCCCCACCGTCGCCAACTGGCACCGGGCATTGTGGCCATGCCCAACATGTCCCGGCGGAGCCTGGAAAACCACAACGATCGGGTCAACTACATGGTTCAGCAGAACCCTGCCCAGGAGGAGTTCATCCGCCGCCGCTATCAGTCCAAGTATACCCAGCAGCAGGCCAACTATGATTCCGCCGACGAACTGGACGCCACCTTTGGGCAGCAGCAGCAGAAGCAGAGCTGGTGGCTCGTCCGCCTCATCCAGCTGGTCATTAGCAGCGTTTCCACCGTGTGGACTCGAGTGACCAATATCTCGGCCACGGAAACGAATGCCTACCAGAACTACTACGCTAGGCGCCAGCAGAGCCAACAGGTCGGATTCTTGGGGAAAGTCGGCCAGGCTATCGGAGGAGGATTCACTAGCTTGCTGCGCTACTTGTACATATTCATTGGATCGGTTCTCAGTCTGGACACGTGGCTGCTGCGGTCCTCGGATGCGGAAAACAAGTCGAAAAAGCGGTTCTTAATATTTCTGCTGATTTTGCTGCCCTTGCTGCTCTTGACTGGTGAGTAGGCCCCCAAAGCCCCATCCGATTTACAACGATGTAAAGTAAAATATGTTCGAACGTGTGCCCTGACCTTGTGTCGGTTCGAGAATTCGTGCTATATGCATATAGATCACCTTCGGTGGGTTTATTTATATTGACTGTCGCGTGACGCCATCATTAGCTTGTTAGTATAATCCCGCGGATCTAAATTCTGCGGCCACGTGACGACATGTTTTATTCTACACTCGCCATCTGCCAAGGACCAACGCCTAATTTGCTTTGCCTTTGCAGGTCTGTTCTATTACATACACCCCAATGAAACTTTCCCACCCAAATCCCTGTCCGAATACACATTTACCCTACCTGAGTTGCCCAAGATCAACGTGAGCGACTACCTGAACCAGGCCCAGTTGGAGTCGCTGCGCTCCCAGGCCGCCGAGCAAGCGGTGCGCGTTCGCGACTGGGCCGACGACTATGTGCTGTACTTGCGAACCATCGGTCAGAACGTGGTGAACAAGGGACGCCAGATCTTTCAGGCCGACGATCAGGTCTATTATGAGCGCGTGTAGGGAGCATCTGGAATGGGGAGGCTACCGTTTGGCGGCCGAACTGCTGCAGCAGTTGCTTATTTGATAGGATTTTGTTGATAAACTTTCTACATGAACAATTCAAGTACAAACTAAAGCATTTGGTCCGTGTTTTGTCCGTCTGCTGGGCTCGCAATTTACCCATTTATTTTATAGTTTTTCGTCCCCTCATTTAGACAACCTCTCATACACAACCACCCCACATGTATCCCACCCTACCACAACCCCTGCACAATTCCCAACAAAATGCAACATCACAGGCTGATGGGAGAAGGATAGAGCTCGCCGCTGTTCAAATTGCAGAATTCTTGTAATCACTTACGTAAACTAAACTCTTGTCCAACAATTAGGGCCTTTAGCCGTCTGGGTGAAGGCCCTAACTAAATCATACTTGTTGTCAAACAACGTTTAACTGTAATTTGTTCACTGTTTGCTTTGTAATAGTCTATACAAAAAATAAATCGCAAACAATTTCATACAAAACATCAAGTACAAAAGAAGAGTAGTTTGTTTTATTTGCCATTTGTTGGAAGTTCGCTAAATGGTAAGTAAAATGTAAACAAGCAATATTGGTTGGCCAAAACCGAACTCTATCCTTCTGCATTTGTGTTGGAATTACCCCAAAAAACGAAGTTCCCCTTCTTACCTCAGACCATTTGAATATCGAAGCTGCAGGGAACTGGAAATGTAGAAGGATTGCCAACTAATAGTGCTTTGTTTCGCTTTCTCTCCGGCCAGGATGGTCGCTGTTGCAGGAGGATCAACGTATTGGATACGTTCAGCGCGCCGAAGCTCTCTTGCCGCTGCCACTGGCTCTTTTCGGCTCCGTGCAAAGTCGTTTGTCCAGTGCTCGGGCCTCCTTGAAGAGTTGGCTGCAGGTACCCACCATTAAAACAACCCAGGAGGAAGCGGAGGCCATCAAGCTCAACATGGCCAGCATCGAGAGCAACATACAGAAGGCCTTGACTGCGGAGGAGTACGAGAATATCTTGAACCATGTCAACAGCTATGTGCAGCAGTTGGTGGAGCTGAAAATGCAGCAGCAATCGAAGGAACTGCCACCGCACCAGGTTCAACTCATTGTTCAGCTGATGAAGGAGAATCTGCAGCAATTTGCACAGAAAACGGAGCTAAACGAGAAGGATTTGGCTGATCTGGCCATAAAACTGAAACTGGAGCTGAAAAAATCTGGCGATTGGCTGGAAGGAGCAAAGCTATCGCAAGCAAACCTTGAGGAGATCACCCGACTAATTAAATCAGAGGTCCACCTGCACGAATCGCACTACACAATTCAACTGGAGAGGATTGACTTTGCGGCGCTGCTGGAACGCATCTTGTTGGCTCCCGAGTTGGCCGATTTTGTGGATTCCCGTATTAATGCCCAGGTTCAGAAGCTCCAGCCCAAGGAGAGTTCTGGATCCCCGCCAGCAGACATTGAAATCGATCGATTGAACAGGGAGATCGCCTTCATTAAGTTGGCCCTTTCCGACAAGCAGGCGGAGAACGCCGATCTGCACCAGTCGATCAGCAATCTGAAGCTTGGCCAGGAGGACCTGCTGGAACGCATGCAGCAGCACGAACTGGCCCAGGATCGGCGCTTCAGCGGTCTACTGGCTGAAATCGAATCCAAACTTTCTGCGCTCAACGACTCGCAGTTCGCTCTGCTCAACAAGCAGGTCAAACTTTCCCTGGTCGAAATTCTGGGCTTCAAGCAATCCACCGCTGGCGGTGCCGCTGGCCAATTGGATGATGTCGATCTGCAGAACTGGGTGCGCAGCATGTTCGTGGCCAAGGACTATTTGGAGCAGCAGCTGCTGGAGCTGAACAAGCGCACCAACAACAACATCCGCGACGAGATCGAGCGCTCCAGTATCCTGCTGATGAGCGACATCAGCGAGCGGCTCAAGCGGGAGATGCTGCTGGTCGTGGAGGCGAAGCACAACGAGAGTACCAAGGCGCTGAAAGGCCACATCCGCGAGGAGGAGGTGCGCCAGATAGTGAAGACGGTGCTGGCTATTTACGATGCCGACAAGACGGGCCTGGTGGACTTCGCCCTCGAGTCGGCGGGTGGCCAGATTCTCTCTACGCGCTGCACCGAGAGCTACCAGACCAAATCGGCTCAGATCTCGGTGTTCGGCATTCCACTCTGGTATCCCACCAACACGCCCCGGGTGGCCATTTCGCCCAACGTGCAGCCAGGAGAGTGCTGGGCATTCCAGGGTTTCCCCGGATTCCTAGGCAAGTCGCGAGTCGATACTTAATATAAATTAAATTCTTATAATTTCACCCCCACAGTGCTGAAGCTCAACTCGCTGGTGTACGTCACCGGATTTACCCTCGAACACATACCCAAGAGTTTGTCGCCCACAGGAAGGATAGACTCCGCTCCTCGCAACTTCACCGTTTGGGTAAGTGTAAATAATCAGTAAATCATTCAAAATCTAATCAAATTGGTGCTTTTTTTCAGGGGTTGGTGCAAGAAAAGGACCAGGAACCTGTGCTGTTCGGCGAGTACCAGTTCGAGGACAATGGCGCCTCCCTGCAGTACTTTGCCGTTCAGAACCTGGACATCAAAAGGCCATACGAGATCGTCGAATTGCGCATCGAGACGAACCACGGCCAGCCCACCTACACATGCCTCTACCGGTTTCGAGTGCACGGCAAGCCCCCAGCCACATAGATCCATCCGAATCCCTCTCTATATAGTGACCTAAGTACTGTCATCAGGTGTACATAATGTCTGTGCCTTAAAAAGGAAACTCACTGCGAGACGTGGATCAACTGAGCCCAGCCGCCTTCAACTTATGCAAACTATGTAAAGAGTAAGGCTATAGCTTTTAAGTGTTTTGTATCATATCGTAGGCTTGAAGTGTTTATATCCAAATAAGGTTAACTTGTACATACCTAAACTAATAAGTCGGGGCTCGAGTCCAGTGTCCAAGAAAAGTCCTATAATATTTATTCACACTTAGTTTGTCCCTCTGAAATCAATCATCGTTCCTTTAAGTCTACTCTACTAACGTATGCATATTTTTTTACCATGTTTGCCATTTAAAAGCGTTTTGAACTAAATAGTCATAGTTTGTCTAAGCCGCACACTTGCTGGAAATCTATAGTTTAAGTTATATCTAAGCCAAAATGTTTTACAATGGAAACTTGCAAACCTATTATTATAGCCATAGCGATTTGAAAAAAGAAACCCCTCTGAAATAGTGTAAAATAAAATTGAAACTCATTAAACATCTCAATCTAAACTATCGAATGAAACCTGCACATATCTCACCCGATCCAAAGTTTTCTGTACTCCCTGTATACGTTCAATATATGTATGTCTAAAGAGTGAACCCAAAAATAGCTGATAATGATAAATATACTTTTCTATTGTTTTTGCCCGTAAGTCTACTTAATTGGTTTAGTTTGTATTTACTTCGTTTGTTCATTAAGGCTTCACCCACCCCATTTTTTAAACAATAAATACTTTGCCTGGAATAATAAAAACGTTTTCTTACTTAAAAGGAAGGCGAAAAAATAGCTGTCAAAGGCATGGCAAGTAATTAACCCTTACTATCCTGGTAATTAGTTATTTTTTTACGGCAGTGAAAGCCCTGAATGGGTGGAAAAGGATCAGAAACTGCAGTTGGTAGCTCCAGTTGCAGCGTTTGCCATTTACATTTAATTGAAGCGTAGGAATTTTAGTTTCCATTAAAATCGGATTTAATTACGTTATAATGCATTTTACTCTCGACTGCACATCCTTATAATTTGCTGACGGTTTCAATTGTATTGTTAAGGCGTTTTAACATAAATGATGAGAACAGGACTTGTGTTTCCATCTGGTAAAGTTATTAAGTGCATTTCTGATGCAGACTCGTCCTGGGTAATTTAATATGAAAATACCTTTGGAACTGCTGACTCCGCAAGGACGACGTCTAGGGTTAATGTAAATTGTCATTTAATTTGTTTTGCGAGGAGATTCCGCCCCGGGCAAGTCAAAGGATTCACATTTAAGCGCAAGTGGAGGAATGCACTTAATTAAAGCCAGCTTTCTGTCTGAAACAAAAGAGGGCTGACGAATTTCTATGGCAGCGGGGAGGGAACATCTTGTATGCCAGGATTCCGTCAAAGGTACCACCAGCAAATGTATGAAATTTCCACAAATAGAGCAGGCTCCCGGGTCGCCATTAGGCAGATTCCTCCTCGGGAAGGTCCTGTTTCAGAACAGGACTGCGGCATGTCAAAGCTTTGTGCTTCCTCGTTTGAGCCTGAATTACAGGCATTGCTCACGCGTTTGGTGTAATTACTGGGGAGAATGCCCCTGCCAACAAACACACACTCGCATTAACTTTAATTGCCATCGGGGGCCCGAAAACTTTTAATTTTGTTGGGCGGCGTAACTTTACCATATTCATTTCGCACCTGCTCGATGGTTAGAAAAGAAATGGCCTGGCATGCAGCACGCTTAATTTGTTTACACAAATCTTGCTCAAGTGCCAGCCACCACCCACCATCCACCCACCACCTCCAGGAATGAATTCCCAGCGAAGGAATAAAAAATTGAAACAACTCTGAGTACTCGCACTCTGGCTGGAAAACTTTCGTCCTGCGAGTGTGTAACAATTAAACTGCAGCTAAAAATAGTGACTAATGAGAAAAGTTTCCAGCAGCGGCTGTAAAAAATAAAAGGAACCCCAACTACGAGAAGGAACTTCCCTGAACTGAATCGATCCCGAGCAGAGTGTTTAAGTTGGCAGGAACTTTTTTTCTATTTTGTATTGAATTTGCTGGCGTGTCGAGGCACAATTTGCCGGCATTAATGTCGGGATCAGCCAGCGCCAGCTGAAGTGTGCCAGCCATAAAGGGAGTTGCAATCTAGCCGAGACAATAAAACTCATATCATATCACACTTTTATCCCCCAGCCGCAAGGAAACTTCGGGGAAAGTTTCCGGCTTGCTTTGATAAGGAAATTCTTCAAGTATTTGCGATAGCGTGCAAAAAGACGTTTGCACAAAAAAATGTTTTCTAGTTACACCTAATATATGTAGATACATATATATAAACATGTATTTATAGAAACCTTTTGATATTTACATGAGGGTTGCCATTAAAATTCACCGTAATAAGTAATAACCGACTAAAGGATAGATGTATTAAGAAATATTGGTCTTAATTGTATGACAATTTACTAAACGTAAAATGAAAATGTAATCGAAAGAAGCTTTTCCAATCATTTTTATACCCTTGCAGGTGGTATTATAATTTTGGTCAGTTTGAAAGCGCCCTGATCAGACCATAGGAACAATCGGATATATCAAGATATATCAAGAAATTTTTTTTTGTGCATATCGGACGCGTGCCGATCGGACGTCTCTCAACATATTTTATTGCCTCTTAAATAAATTGAAATTCTCGGAATGTATGTTTTGAATCTAAATATAAAGGTGGTATTTTTCTCTTATATATATTTAAATCATCTGATTAGAAGGCCTATAAAAGCAGAAGACTGGAAAATGGTTCACTCAGTACGGAAAATAATTTTGAATTCAAATGAAGAAGCTAATAGAAGAATTCGTTTTCCTCTTTTGCCTGGCATCGATTGTTCGGTAAAGGCATACAAAAATATAATATCCTATTTTTAAAATCCGAATCCCTACAGGGCAAAATCTACTTTAAACGGAACGAGTTCCGAACAGAGGAGCACTGGACAGCTCCTGCCAATGGTTATCAACACCTGGCCCTTTTCGGTCGCCAACGAGGAGGCGTGGCGCATCCTGAACCTTAAAAAAGGAGGAATAGGTCAGACGAGGGACGCCGTGGTGGGCGGAATTTCGGAGTGCGAGAGGCTGCAGTGTCATAAGGAAGTGGGCTACGGTGCCAATCCCGACGAGCGCGGAGATGTCTCGCTGGACGCCTTGGTCATGGATGGCAGCACCATGGAGATCGGGGCAGTGGGCGATCTTCGGCGGATTAGGAGCGCCATCAAGGTGGCCCGTCACGTCCTGGAGCACACACATCACACTCTTTTGGTGGGCGATGGAGCCGCGGATTTCGCCAATGCCATGGGATTCCCGAACGAGACTCTGAACACTGCAGAAACCACAGCCATGACCCAAAATTGGACGGAGCATAACTGCCAGCCGAACTTCTGGCGAAATGTCTATCCAGATCCCAAGTCCTCATGCGGTCCTTACAAGCCATTGAATTCGTGGGACGAGCACGCTTCTCGAACTGACCAGGTTGAGATCGGGCCCGACAACCACGACACCATCACCATGGCCGCCATCGATGAGGAGGGAAACATCCACGTGGGCACTTCTACCAACGGACTTAGACACACGCTACCCGGACGTGTGGGAGATGCGTCGATCCCTGGTTCGGGGGCCTACGCAGATAACGAGGTGGGCGCTGCTGTGACCACCGGAGTTGGCGACACCATGATGCGATTTCTTCCCTCTCTCCTCGCCGTGGAGGCCATGCGGGCGGGCAAGACGCCGGCGGAGGCTGTGGAGTCTGTAATCAAGCGGATCCGGAAGTACTCCAATGGATTTTGTGGCGGCGTTATTGCCATAGATCGCTTTGGAAACTATTCAGTGGCCTGTAACTGCAGACCGTCTTTCAAGAAGGAATTTCAATACATGGTCAGTAGCTCGGTTAACCCGAATCAGCCAACTCGTATGGAATCGGTGACCTGCTCGTGGGATCTTTCCATACCTACTTCCAAACAGACAGTTCTTTGGTAGGCGTTTAAATTAAAATATAATGTTATAACAACAAAAATAGTTAAAGTTAGAAAGAAATATAAATTACAACAACTAACTGCTAATTTGATCGCAGCTGTAAACACAATAAAAATTTACATTTTTCCTGTGGAATTGGCTGCAGGTTGTACATGAACTTTTCTGCAAAAACCTTTTCGCTTTTATTAAGCTGAGTAAAGGGTATCTGATAGTCGGGGCACCCGACTATAGCGGTCTCTCTTGTTTTGATATTGCCACATATGGCACCAAAATTGATATGAAAAACAAGAGAGAACGCTATAGTCGGGTTGTTGTCCCGACTATCTAATACCCGTCACTCAGCTAAAGGGAGTGCGAACGCTGTGTCGGGTTGGTGTCCCGACTAATAATCGTACTCAGCTAAAGGGAGTGCGAGGGAGATAGATATATAATTTTTGATTGCGTATAACTTTTTAATGAATGGTCCGATTTGAAAAATGTCTTCTACATTTCGATAGGTATAAATATACACAACAAAATTGCATTTATACTTCTCGGAAATCTTTAAAGATGTGGGCGCAGGACCCATTTTAAAATCGCTAGTGGGCGATTGTGGGCGTTAGAGGGGGCGTGGCGCTCGGCTAAAATAAACTTGCGCTGCGTAGGAAGCCAAAGAATATGTGTGGGAAATCTCAACCTTCTAGCTTTTGTAGTTTCTGAGATCTCAGCGTTCATACAGACGGACAGACGGACAGACAGACAGACGGACAGACGGACAGACGGACAGACGGACATGGCTAGATCGACTCGGCTAGTGACCCTGATCAAGAATATATATACTTTATGGGGTCGGAAACGCTTCCTTCTAGCTGTTACATACTTTTGCACGAATCTAGTATACCCTTTTACTCTACGAGTAACGGGTATAAATACCCGATTAATGACCAATTTCGGTATTTTTTTTATCTGTGTAACTTCTATACTATTTATTGTTTTTGATTACAAAATTATTTACTATGTTAGGTTAGATTACGCTATTTATACCCATTACTCGTAGAGTATGCTTATCAAATGTATAAATTTTTCAAATCGGAACATTCGTTAAAAAGTTGTGCCCTATCAATGTTTTATATATCCATCTCCCTCGCACTCCCTTTATCTCAGTAACAGGTATCTGATAGTCGGGGCACCCGACTATAGAGTTCCCTCTTGCTTTAATCTAGATTAGATTTTAAATGTTTTTTCTTAGTTTCGTTAAGTTATTTATTGTCAAATGATTGCACAAGACGGTCTATAAAGGCAGAAGACCGGGAAAAAAGTCGCTCAGTTTGAAAAAATAACTCTAATAGAGAATTTTAAATTGTTTTAATTGATAATATAAAGATATGAAGAAGGTATTAGCAGTATCCGTGTGCCTCTTTTGGCTAGCATGGATTGTTCGGTACTACATCAACGTAACGAGTTCCGGACAGGGAAGCACTGGACAGCTCCTGCCAATGGTTATCAACACCTGGCCCTTTTCGGTCGCCAACGAGGAGGCGTGGCGCATCCTGAACCTAAAAAAGGGCGGAATTGGTCAGACGAGGGACGCCGTGGTGGGCGGAATTTCCGAGTGCGAGAGGCTACAATGCGATAAAGCTGTTGGCTTCGGCGGCAATGCCAACGAGCGTGGATATGTCGCCCTGGACGCCTTGCTGATGGATGGCAGCACCATGGAGATCGGAGCAGTGGGCCATCTTCGGAGGATGAGGAGCGCCATTAAGGTGGCCCGTCACGTCCTGGAACATACGCATCACTCCTTTTTAGTCGGCGATGGAGCCGCGGATTTCGCCAATGCAATGGGCTTCCAGAACGAGTCGCTGGACACTCCAGAAACAGCAGCCATCACGCAAAATTGGACGGCGCATAATTGTCAGCCGAACTACTGGCGGAATGTCTATCCGGATCCCCTGACCTCCTGCGGGCCCTACCAGCCTTTAACTTTGTTTGACGAAGGGGCCCCTCGATCTGACCAGGATGAGATCGGTCCCGACAACCACGACACCATCACCATGGCCGCCATCGATGAGGAGGGCAACATCCACGTGGGCACATCCACCAACGGAATAAGACACACGATACCTGGGCGCGTTGGAGATGCCCCGATCCCTGGCTCCGGTGCCTACGCAGATAACGAAGTGGGCGCTGCTGTGGCCACCGGGAATGGCGACATCCTGATGCGCTTTCTTCCCTCCCTCCTCGCTGTGGAGGCCATGCGGGCGGGCAAGACGCCCGCGGAGGCAGTGAAGTCTGTATTCCAGCGAATCCGAAAGCACATACCTCGCTTTGAAGGCGCCCTTATCGCCGTAGATCGCTTTGGAAATTATGCGGCGGTCTGTCGTGGTGTTAGCTATTTTAAGGAGAAATTCCACTTCATGGTCAGTAGCCCGGCCAATCCGAATCGGCCGACGCGTATGGAAACGGTCATGTGCGCCACGGAACAATATGAAGCTCCATCCGAACTTTATCCGGATGTTATTTGGTAGTTTTAGATCATATTGTTATTTTAAATTAACTTTCATAACATGCAGTTCTAGAAAAATTACCGTGAAAGAAAGGATAAAAAAACCAAATCAGCCTTCGTGTATCAAATCGGTACTCCTTCCCAAGCCGAACGTCAGTTTGTATTAGTTAAAATAGAATGCTACATCCATCATCTAAAATTAATATTATTTGGTATTAAGTCCATACCAATTATTTTTTCCCCATCTAGTATATTTTCAACGCTTAGAGAGTTAACACATTTGATTTTTTTTTTGGGTGTACCAATCAGTTTGAAATCAGACGGTTATCAAACCAATTATTTCTTAATTAAATTAAATTTCCAGCTTATCTTATAGTCGAGGCACTTGACTCTGACCTATTTTCTGGTTGATAGTAAACATTCCTTATCAGGATACAGATTCGAACGACGTTGCTTGTAGATTGGGAGTGGCTCACGCACTGACATTCGCTTTGGGCCAAAGTTGTACCCAAATTCAGTCCAAATATGATATGATGTGACACTGGATCTCGGGCCTCCGCAAACCGATAGCCCGCACAGTGAGAAGCAAAGTCATGGCCGCAGTTGGCTTGGCATTATAATATCCTACTTTTAAAATCCGATTTCCGATAGGACAAAATCTACATCAAATTGCCCCAGTGACGAAATTGCCCCTCTCTCCCCTACGTTTCTTCTGGCATATATTAAATAATTTTAATCACACCCAGAAAAAAAATGACCTAAAATGTCAAAAAATGGCCTAGAATTTAGGTAAAATTGGCCTAAAACTGAAGCTAAGTCCTTAAATGGCCTAAAATTTGGGATTGTATGACCTAAAATGTTAGGCCATTAATGGCATAAAATGGGGTAATTGTTGGCCTAGATTTTATGTAATTGGCTGCCTTAAAATATGAGAAAACCCCTATCCAAAATTTTAGGCTTTCTTTGGCCTAAAAATTTGTACTGAAAAATGTTTCATATTATAAAGTAAATACAGAGAAATTTATAGCTAACTCGAGGTCAATGTCGGCTTAGTCTTCAAGAAGTCGTCATTACTCCAACACACAAACACGAGCGAAGAGGCTTCACTGTTCAGCAGTGAAATAGCTGTTTTATTCAACGATCGAAGTGGGTTACCATGCAAGCCGCGCTCTAACTGGTTGGGAATTATAGCGTCGCTAGAACGGTATCAGAGTTCCGTGCATATTTATTTAGGTAAAATGCATTAATTTTAAGGCCCACGATGACCTAAAATATTAGGCTATACGGGACCTAAATAGTAGGGCAAATATACCAAAAATTTAAATTTTTAGGCAGTACAAGACCTAAAAAGGAACTTTTAGTCCATTTAAAATGTTTTAGGCTATGCATGACCTAAAATGTTGTCCATCATTTTTCTGGGTGCAGGATACAAATCAAGGCGACGTTGCCTGTAGATTGGGAGTTCCTCACGCACTCTCTCCACCAGGGAAAAGTCGATGTCCGTCACCACAGTTGCCTCGTTCTCACCTGCACACGCCTGAATCCTGGCCCAGGGATCGACCACCATTGAGTGGGCATGGCTAATGTGCTTGGCGGTGATATCCTTGGCTGGAGCGCTAGTCACCACGAAGAGCTGGTTGTCATTGGCGCGGGAACGCGGCAGAAGTTCCCCGTGCAAAGCTCCCGTGAAAAGGGCAAAGTCGGAGGGATAGATGATCATCTCGCAGCCCGCATTTCGGTACACACGGGCCATCTCCTCGAAGCGGATGTCGTAACAGATCCCCAGTCCGATTTTATGGCCGTCCACCTCAAAAATGCTGTACTCACTGCCCGGCGTAAACCTAGCGGACTCCACGTAGGTAATTCCACCCGGAATGTCCACGTCGAACAGGTGAACCTTGCGGAACTTCGCGACCAGATGACCTTCGGGTGACCACACGGTACAAGTACTGTAGACGGCATCACTTTCGCCCTTCTCTGGCAACGTTCCGCCCACAATGTAAACCTTATGCTTCCTGGCCAGCTCCGAGAGTCGTTGGAAGCAGTGTCCTTCCGTGACGGTTTCTGGGTCTCTGTGAAAGCCAGAGTTCTTGGAAAAGTGCTCGGGCAGACAAATCAATCGCGGCTTTTGATCCCTCATGACATCTTCGATTTTCCTGGTCACGACCTCCAAATTGTCATCTCGATTCTTGAAGAGCTTCCATTGGAGCAACGCCAAACGCATACCTATTTCAGGGACTTCTGGTTATGTTAGTGTCACAGAAAGCTTCATAACCGCTTACATTGCCTTGATTTATTCATATTAAATAAATGACAAACTAATTATATAATTATGTGGAAACCTCTTAAACACACGCTTTCGCTGAAACTAATCATTGGGAAAAATATTGCTCTTCAAGACCCCACATTTAAATTAGCAAATACGAATTCCACTTTATATTACACATACAAAAATGGTATACGTAAAATAAATTTATAATAAAAATGTGTACACTGCCATTAAAAAAACGTCTTGTATTTTGTTGGTTTTTTAATCTTATTGTAACATTACCATCTTTTATATTTAGGAAATATTCAGTTTTCTTCCTTGATTTACGGGTTTAAGAAACTAGATTTTGTACCAATTTAAATTTAACAAAACTCAGTTTTTTCACAGTGATTAAATAAAAATTCCTCTTTTTTTAAAATTTCTTATCGCTTGAGAAGAGTTTTTGATTCCAAATTGTTGGCAATGTGTGTATTTTTCTTATCTGTTGTGCCTAGGTCAATAGTAAGTATGTCTACAGCCCACAAATTTGAAATATATTTGAAGGCCATTGTTTTGATGTGAGACATTAAATGCTAAATGTTTTTAAAGAATAATAATTTCTCTTATTTTACGCCAAAATTCATATTCACATAATTATATGTTTTAAAAGTGGTAAAATGATACACACAAAAAAAAGCACGTCGCCGTAAAATCGATAAGTCCAGGTAATTTTCTGGTTATTCCTACTCATATCGTTTTTACCTGAAATATTCATAAAATTTACATTAAATAATATCATTTTGCCGAATTCTCTCTCTCGGAGATTCTCTAACTTCGAAAAAGAGCGCAAGAATCAATATGGCGAATAAAATGACATGAGTGGAAGCGAGAAAGACTGATTCGAAATTCGAACTGACGTACTTCAAGCATGTTTTCTCGCTCGCACTAGTGTACGTTTTGGTCAGAAATAAGATTTCTTACATTTCGAACATATCACATTTACCTGGCCCCATATCAAGTTAAAAATGATCTTAAAAAAGGTCAAATTGACCTACGATTCATATCGAGTTTTTTTTGGGTGTAGGTTTAACTATCCAAAGCAACCTTTAAGGACGCTCCAAAGGATGGCACACGCTTCGGGCCAAAGTTTTACCCAAATTCACTCCAAATATGATATGATGTGACACTGGATCTCGGGCCTCCGCAAACCGATTACCCGCACAGTGAGGAGAAATTCACGGCCGCAGTTGGTTTGGCATTAGATATGCGCATACATTGAGCGGCTGGGAAAAGTTTTGTTTGCAATGCAAATCTGTTTGCAGTTGCTGGGCGATGTGTATGGGAATGGAGTGGAGTGCGGCTAACGCTTAGTTAGAGACACTTGTGTGACTTGTTGGCGTAATTAAATTTAGGAGTGGGCGACAGCCAGAGGAGCAAATGCCAGGACAATAACTATTTAACAAACCGTTATGCACACATTTTGATAACTTTCAATTTGATTCCACTCGGCGGCGACATGGTCGCTCAGCAGGCGGAAGTGACTGGAGGAAGTGTTTTGCATTGTGGCCGTAATGAAATAAACTTGTCACACAGTCGGCAAGCCATTTGCCATTTGCTAGCCGAAACCGAACCCGAAACCGAAACTACATCCGCCGGAGAGGCTCCGGGGTCAAAGTTCGGCAGCAGCTGCTGTGCCGTTCTCATTGGAAATTTAATTACGCATGCGACTTGTTTACAGATCCAAAGTTAAGCCTTGCTGCCAGTCGGACGTGCACATTAACCTTAATTGAGTGACAAACAATCCACATCCACCCCGCAAGTTCGTCAGGCCATCATTTTGTTTACAGACAATTGGATTTTAATAGGATTTCGCCTTTTGCGAAAATCCCGGCCATCACCCGACTTAGCACCATTTACTTTGGGCCAAAGTCCTGGTCGAGTGTCCATTTGCATAGCTGTTGGCAGCGCAACTCTTTGGCCTGCCGGCCATTATTTCGCACTTCTGTGTAATTTAATTCATTTGCAATGCCTTTGCGAATTATGTGGCAGGGAGGTTTACTTTCGCATTTTTGTCTTTTTGGCTCCCCGGTATTTGGCCTTAAAGTCCCTTTGCGGCCAGGGGGCCAGGGCCACAGAAACCCCGAAAGCCGCAAGCCACTTTCGTGATCCTTCATCGGAGTCATCTTAACGCATCATTTAAGCCGGCAGGGTCGGTGGTTGGCTGCCCCCTGGAACAGGGTCAGATAACGTTTCGTCTTTGTTGCTCTTAATTAAAGATTAAATGTGCTAAGTTGTCGGGACTTTTGGCCCAAAGACTTTGCTTTAATAACAGCCATTCCTCCGGTTGGTTGTGTTTATTTTCTGAGAGGGGATGGAGGAGTAGGGGGAGGGAAGGGGCATGTGTGAGTCCTTGGTCCAGCCATGCATCCATCCATCAATCAATCAATTACGCTTGGAAGTGAGCCAGGATAATAAAACGTGCCTGAAACGGAGTTTTGTCAGCAAAATTTACGATCAACTTGGCAGAAAAGCGTATTACGAATTTATGTATTGAAGCAATGTCCTTTAAAAACGTCTACTTGAAGTGCTAGTGCAAGTGCACATTTCATAGAGCTACAATGTACCAATTGAAAGAGAATTATTTTATTGGCAATTTGTATTTCAAATTTTACAAATGCGAAAGGAAAATTTGTGTCACTGAATAATACACTGAATGTACAACTAAAAGTACTCAATGAAATTAACTAAAGTCGATTTGGGTGATAAATAATTTAATAAATATATTATAAAATCTTTTTTTGTTTAGATGAAATGGGAGCTTTTTCTCATTGGTAATATTTTGCAATGATAATTTTAAACGCCTTATTATAGGATATTTATAGTTGTTAAATGTACAACTAAAAGTACTCAATGAAATTAACTAAAGTCGATTTGGGTGTTAAATAATTTAATAAATAAATTATAAAATATTTTTTTTGTTCAGATGAAATGGGAGCTTTTTCCCATTAGTAATATTTTGTAATGATTATTTTAAAAGGCCTTTTATAGGATATTTATAGTTGTTAAATTTTTTCCTTTAAAGAACAATGTGGATGTTATTGCGCAGCCATAAATTCTACATTTTAGTAAACTTATTTTTTCAATTTCGAATCGTTGGATTGCTTGATTTTCACTACCTACCTTTTACTTTTAGGGAATTGCGTTTGATAAGAGGCCATATTTCATGTGATTTCATGCAAGCTGCATACATTTTAATTCAGTTCGGAACCTGCGAAATTGCTGGCCATTGTATGGTCGCTGTAAATGCCGGACTAAGCTCGCAAAGCAATTATTTACCTAAATGGTTGGCCCACGTCAATGGCAATTGTCTGCGATTTCCATTTGGCTGAAATGTGTTGCATGCAGGCCGTCAGAAGGCTGTCAGAGGCATCCGAACAATGGGATCGGGCAAAAAGGCAAACAAGAGACGAGCTGCTGCCGAGGAGGCCAGTTGGGCGCTGCAACAAAAGCAGGGTAAGGCAAACTTTTTAATTGAAAACCAACAAAAATATAACGTCAAAAGTTGCAAGTGGTTGACACTTCGCACGGCCCGAAACGCCCGAATCGCCCGAACCACCCGGCGTATGCGTGATATTGAAGGTATCGGGCAGGAAGAGTAAACGAAACGAAATGAATCCTTTGCGACAGCCGTTGCCAGGCATCCAGTGCTTTAAGCCGAATATACATGCACATGTGGATACGTATTATATGCGACTGTGGCCAGAAGTCCATGGTCTTTAATCAGGAAGAGAGCCATTGCCGCATCGTTATGATGCGACTCAGCCAGGCGACGCCGCACTGCAAGGTGCCTATATATCCATACACTATATATATTTAAATTAAAGATTATAAAAAGTATGTGGATATGTCGAGTGGGCACACGTTGCACTTGCGACTGGCGGATTGGGATTGCGATTGCTGTTGACACAATTCCGCATCGGACTGCCTCCCATTGCGTTTTATTTACGTCTCTGCGATTTATCGAAGTTGGCATATGATGCTGATGCGCCCGTTTTTTAAGCCCCGCATACGAACTGCTTTCTCCGCAGAGCTTAACTGAGTCAGCTGCAGTTGGTAAACAACCACCCACCGCCCACTACACACCCCCCGGCGATGTAATGTGATTATTCAGTTGTTTTGCTCACAATTAAAACAAATTGTACCCGCTGCTAACAAAAACATAAACACACTGCTCGGAATGTCACTGTATATTTTTTTTATTTGTGCAAACAATGCTGGGTCGCAATTCGATTATCCCACCAGTTGCACGGCTTCGGCTCGGATTAATCTCTAACCCGGACATTCCTGGGTCCTGGCTGAATCGCTCATAAGGACAACAACGAGCCATAAAAAATCAATTCCGACTTTGGCAATTCCGCAAAGATTTACGTTTCAATTTCAGTTTCTGCCACAATAAAAATCAAAGCAGCCGAAGTGTGTATCCTTCGAACTCGTGAACATACATGTATGCGTATATCCTGCAGGACGCAGTCGAGTGTGTGTGTTTGTGACCATAAGCTGGCTTAGCAGATTTGTTGCCAAAATTAGCAGGCTGTTGGGGATCGAAAAAGGGAGCGGCGAACGTCCTGTAGGATATCTATTTTGGGCAAAAGAATTCGGCGTCATGCGAGCAGATTTATGCGCCATAAAACTGTGGCTAGACATGAACATACATGTCAGCAAGGACTCGCTTTATGGCGACCAATAAAAACGAAGAACCCAACCTGCAATAAAAAGCGGAAGAAATGTGTGATCCATTCCCCTTTAAACAAACCCGAGAGCATTTTAATATTTAGTCCTTGCCATAAGGCTCTTATTTAACCGTATGTAAATACTTTATGTTTACACTACACTTTTGTCTTTTTATGCCGGTTGTTTTTGTTAATTCAAAGTCAACAGCCACGAAATAGAATCCGAGCCCCATTGTGTTTGTGTAA